ACGCCCCTGCAGCCATGGATTCGTCCAACAACTTTGCTGTACTAAGCCTAAGGAACACTTACTGTCATTTATTTTAAACAAGGGAAAATCACAAAATCGAATGAGTTTTGATTGAATATGTTATAAAACGAGATTTCAATAATGCGATTTTTAACTGCCCTCCGAAACAACAATGTTCCACCAAATATAGCTCTGTAGCTTTTCAATCGTTCATACAGATATATAGCTTGTTGGGGATCGGGTTGCATCCTCTTCAGAAATTTTTTAAAATCTAGACTCATGGTAAACTGGCATTTTCGCATTAAAATCATCGTATATACAGTACGTTCAACTTGCATCCTGTAGATGGGCTTTGAAGCTTTAATAGTTTGGAGCTATGTTATCAAAAAACGCACACATAGCAGATTCAACAATCCAAAAATACTTTTTTCACCCTAAACGGTCACCTCTATTAATTAATTAAGCGGACGTCACGCGGTCACCTTTACCACGACCACGGTTCCAAACTCACAATTTTTCATTATCTGAGACAACAATTAATTATACGTACGCGTACGGTCAGTGGAAAGTAACTACAGCAAACATAATACAATATATGGGGTGTATAAAAAAAATTGAACAGATATGAATCCGCTCTCAATTTCGCTATTAGTATCCAGTTTTTTATGTATATAGCTTCTTTGGGTACAGAGTAGTCAATATAATTCTGAAAACCTGGTTCTGACATAGTGTGTCGGACCAACCCATGTTTCATGTAGAATAATGAAAACAATTTCTCGAACTCAAATTTTGTGAACCAGGGGGGGTCTTTCTCAACAAACTAAAAATGGCTTGTGCACAAAATCTAAAAGCTTTAATCATATTTTGAGTTAATAGATGGACAATTGTTGGGTTTTTAATTACTGTACAAAATTTCAGACCAGTGGCATTTTTTAAGGATTCTTCAGTGGTGGGGAAAAACTGCCAAAGGGCCCATTTTCCTTGCCCTTCCCCAAGGATAGTATGCGATCGCCGAAGATGTGAGCCGAGTACCGCAGGCACGAGATAGCGAGGGGGGTCCGGGGGCATGCCCCCCAGGAATTTTTTAAAGTTTGGGTCTCTGAAATAGCATTTCCTGCATTCTGAGAACGCATTTGATAAAAAAATTCTCAAAACAAAGTTTTAATGGTGAAATTTGTAATAAATTGCATGCTAAACATTCAAATACAACATAAGTTTAAGTATACTCACCAACAAATTTTGTTTTTAAACTTCTTTTCAATATTAAACTCATTTACTCAATACAACTCATAGGGCCTTAGCTTTGGGGCAATAGGCCATTTTTTTCTCAGTGGTGGGGCACAGGAAGGGGCCCAGTGGGGAAAATGCCGCCCAGTCCATGGTATTAAAAAATGCCTTGTTTCAGACAATTTGCTTTAGTTTAAGCCCTTTAACTATTCACGTTTTCTTTCACGATTTCTTTCCAGATATGTTCTAACATAACTTCATCAGCTCAAACAGTTTTACTAGAAAGTCGCACTCGAAGCACAACTTGGGGCCGGTTGTATGAAAACGTAGTTAGTGGTAACTGCAGTTAACGCTAACTACGTTTTTATACAACCAGCCCCTGAAAAACCTGTATAACCGCAAATTTTTGAAACATACTTTCTACAATAAGTTTTAGAATTTAGATTTCGTGACGCCAAGTATGTAGTTAAATTGAAGCCGCGCGCGTCAGATACCGGTTTTATATAGTACTCAGCGACTCGAACAGAACAAAGTGAAACATGCACAAACACAAACAGTCTACAGGCCACTTGAAATTAATTTCAAGAAAAACAAATGGCAATATACAAAATAATATGCTCTGCTCTTCTTTATTAGACTTTTTTTCTCGGCCTCGATTTTTCGACTTGCCAATTGACCATTTGCGTAATAGACTAAATTTTGAACTAAACAAGTCTAGACAAAAATTTCATCACAACTTGAAGGAGCATCGCAAAATTAGTAATATTCCAAAGTTTCGTTGCAAAATGTTGTAAAATGCGGAAAATATAGCCTTGTGAAATTTGCAATTTTCAGTAATTTAAGTTACAAACGAGAAATTGACAGCCTCGAAGGGTTTGGGGCTGTCAATCTCCCGTTTGTAATCTAAAATGACTGAAAATTGAAAACTTTAGTTCATTTTTCAGCTCGCATCCTCAAAAATTTACTACATCTCTTGGTTGCGAGTTTATCACGAATAAATAGTAAAAGCTATTTTTACAGGTTTTTACAAATAGTAAAAACAGTTAGGATACCAACAATTGGATACCTTGGAATCGTGGATACCTTGGATACCTCAGCCTAGGAACGAGGTTGGGATACCTTGGATACCTTGGATAATTTGGATACCTCGGATACCTTGGATACCTCGGATACCTTGGATACCTCGGATACCTTGGACACTTTGGATACCTTGGATACCTCGGATACTTCGGATACCTCAGATACCTCGGATACTTTGGATACCTTGGATACTTTGGATACCTTGGATACCTCGGATACCTTGGATACCTCGGATACCTTGGATAATTTGGATACCTCGGATACCTTGGATACCTTGGATACCTCGGATACTTTGGATACCTCGGATACCTTGGACACTTTGGATACCTTGGATACTTTGGATACCTTGGATACCTTGGGTACCTCGGATACTTCGGATACCTCGGATACCTCGGATACCTCAGATACCTCGGATACCTTGGATACTTTGGATACCTTGGATACCTTGGATACCTCGGATACCTTGGATACCTTGGATACCTCGGATACCTCGGATACCTTGGATACCTCGGATACCTCGGATACCTCAGATACCTCGGATACCTCGGATACCTCGGATACCTTTGATACCTTGGATACCTCGGATACCTCGGATACTTCGGATACCTTGGATACCCTGGATACTTCGGATACCTTGGATAATTTGGATACCTATTGGTACCTCAGATACTTCAGATCTACTTTACGGTATATTATAATACTTGAAACTATCTTACAGTAGTTTAAAATAGGCACCAACCTTTCTAAAATAACAAACTTGCTTTCAACTTTTAATATTTAATACTTAATATTGAACTGGCACAATTAATTTTAAACACCCATTTATTGGTTTACAAAATCAGTTTAATTTTGGAATTAGCCAATCAGAAGCTCTGTTCATATAGGTTGGTGGTGACCCTAAACATGGCGTCTTCGGATTCATGTTTAATTCATTTTGATGGGAAAAAAGGTAGTTTTAGTGTGGTTTCGTATAAAAAAATTTTAGATTGTTGTAGAATTTGGCAGAACGCTAGACGGGGAAGAACGCAATGTTGCTTAAAGAAGTTTGCGGTTTGTTAACGACAGCATGGAAGTAGCACGGTCGAAAATATCGATGAAAATTTCTCTTTATATCATCGAAGTTGTTACTCGGCATTCACAAATAGCAGTATGATCAACCGAGCTCAAGAGCGTTGTCAGAATATATACAAAGAAGGTGTACCTTCATCCTCTGGTCTCCATGTTATTGATGAAGAAACAGAATCAGATGAATACGAGTGCGGGGCTGTGCGGCAGCTAAATCATGGAATCCCCACTTGTTGCCATGCGTTTAGCGTTTGTATAATTTGCTAATCAGAAAAGTCGTATTTCACTGAATCGGTAAGTTTATTGATTTATTTTTTTTACAATTATTGTTGTTTTTCTAATGTGTGTTTTATAATTATATATTGATTGCATTGCCTTTAGCCGCTCCCGTTATAACGGTTGTGTGATTTCTATGCATGGTTTTTTTATTGTTTAGAAGTCGAAAAAGCGAAAGCTGGACAAAATGGTATCTGTGAAAACAGTAGACTGACTACATTGAATTAGATGACCAAACTACATCAAAGATTTTTCTCTGTGTCAAAATTTGGTCTATATTTCTAATAGGGGGAAAGTACAGATACCCAAGTCCCTAGCACTATGTTTGGTTGTTCTGGCCTGATATTTAAGATTTTGAGTGGTTTTGGACATTGTCTCTCACTATCTTTGGTAATGGCATATGATTCAGCTGTTGCACAAGCAACTATTAACACATCAACATTATTCCAGTAATATCTGATACATGTGGTGGCCAGTTCTTGTACCAAGCTGATGTACAATTATGCAAGTTGTTTCTCAATGTTAGGCCAACTGTATACAGTACATTTCTTTCAATGTTGCACTTGTGTATGTCAATGTTTTCATTACAATGTCAACATCAGAATCAGACTCTTGTGTGAACTCTGAGATGTTTCTATGTCATCATCCATAAAACTTTTTCTTGACTGAGGCACTCTGCATAAACAATTTCACTCTTGTTTCATAACTTTGGTCTATGGAAAACAAGTTGTGAAAACCTTTTACACATGTACTTTTCATAACATTGTTTATGGTTATTCCACTTTCAATGCTAGGTCCTTATCAGCAATTTGAATCAAAATACTTTCATCAGCTTTCTTTGTTGCAGCTTCTTTCAGTTTACCACCTACTGTTTCCGCAGACACCATTTTGTCCTAAATAATAAAAACTCATGCATAGAGATCACACAACCATTATAATGATAGCGGCTAAAGGCAATGCAATTAATAAATAATTACAAAACACATCTTAGAAAAAATATTAATAAATCAATAAACTTCCCGACTCAGTGAAATATGACTTTTCTGATTTGCAAAATTGCAACACGTGGGGATTCCATGATTTAGCTGCCACACTCATACACACGTAAAATTCTCACATCTTGTAACAAGTCTGCCAACAAGCCGTCAACAAGATGTATTCGCACTGCTTGTCACAAGTTGTCAACAGGTTTGGAACAACTTGTTGACAACTTGTAACAACCTTGTCGAAGTTATCAGACTTGTTGCAAGGTTGTTCTGACAAGTCTGTTACATGCTTGATATAACAAGATTGTTACAACCTTGTGTTGACAACCTTGTGTTGACAACCTTGGAACATCCTTGCTATATCATGGTTCCAACAAACTTGTTAGCACTGTCTTGTAAAAATTGTTAACAGCTTGTTTCAAACTTGTTACAACAAACTGGGAACAAGCAGTGTGAAGACAACTTGTTGACAGCTTGTGAACAGACTGTAACAACTTGTTTGCAGACTTGTTACAAGCTGTGCATTTTTACATGTGTAGGTGAACTCAGCATATACATGTAAAAATGCACAAGTTGTAACAAACCTGCAGCAGATTTGTAGCAATGCTGCTACAACAACTTGTCAACAGGATGTGTTCGCACTGCTTGTTTCCAGCTTGTTGATAGGTTGTCAACACCTTGTTGACAACTTGCTACAAGGTAGTACAAGGTTGTCAAACTCAACAATTAACTTGTTACAATTGTTCCAACAGCAATTCAACAATTTGTCAACAAATTGTGAGTGACAAGCTTGTAGCAAGTTGATAAAATAACAGAATTTTTACAACTTGTTGACAAGCTTGCTACAAGTCTGTTGCGAACACATCTTTTTGACAAGTTGTGCGATTTTTACGTGTGTAGATCTCAGCATTTTCTTTACAGGTGGAGTTTCAGCTGATTCCGTTTGTCCATCAATAATATCGATACCAGAGGATAAAGGTACACCTTCTTTGTATATATTCTGACAACGCTCTTGAGCTCGGTTGATCATACTGCTATTTGTGAATGCCGAGTAACAACTTCGATGATATAAAGAGAAATTTGCATCGATATTTTCGACCGTGCTACTTCCATGCTGTCGCTAACAAACTGCAAACTTCTTTGAGCAACATTGCGTTCTTCCCCGTCTAGCGTTAGCCATATTCGACGACAATCTAAATTTTTTTTATACGAAACCACACTAAAACTGCTTTTTTTCCCATCAAAATGAATTAAACATGAATCCGAAGACGCCATGTTTACAAATGCTAAGCTGGAAACTTCATGTAAGAATGAGCATGAGCCCGCGAAAATCGGCATTTAGAGTGTTTATTACACCAAGTATCCTGAACAAAAATGGCGGCGATCGATTGCGAAAGATGTCGATTTCTTCAATTTTCGAAGAAGAAATACTCGAAAACTGCAGGTTTTGGGAAGTGCAAACAAGCGGATTTGGACTTTGTATAATTTATCCTAATTATTTATCTTGTTTCAAAGTAGTGCCCGAACCCGGGCAACGGAATTCGTTTTCTAAGCGACTTTTCGTGCCACAGAATACGGCTTACACTGAAATTGGCACTTAGCGCGTTTTAATTTAAGTGTTTTTTTTTTTAAAACGTAGCACTGAGTAAAGGCGAAGTTAAATGAGACAATTTTCTGCAATGCATTTTTAGAGTAGGTGCATGTTAAGTCGGACGCACACAAGGACATCAGTTATTTAACAAATACCTGACGTTTTTCTGTCATTTTCAGAGATTTTTCTTAGTTGATACTAGTCGGATAAGATCAGATTGTTTTATATCCGCTATTTTGCCTGAGTTTTACCGCAAACGTTGCAGTCGGTCCTCTACAACATCATGTGCGCTCGGCTTTACAAAGCACCACTTGCAAAAACTAGTCAAATTTGCGTAATATTGAGATTTAAAATTCAAGAACGATAGCCAAATTAAGCCCGCCTTTCAACACGAAAAGGAACAACTTATAGGAAGTTGCGTTTATAGTTGCCAAATACCACAACTACATTCACAGCGAGATCATCTTTCAGTGTACGTGGCATGAGTGACACCCACGCGTGTTTTTTGCAAACTTGCGACATGACAGGGATATGCGAACCCATTTTATAACTCGGTCCTCAAAAACTCTACATTTGCTAGCCCGAGTAAAATAAAAGCTAATTATCAGCATGTCGCTGTGATACTACAGTATACCTCTAATTTCCAATGTTACCATGCGAATGCCGCGCTGGCCTAATTCGCGGTGCAACTCTAATTATATTGCTTATAACAAATTAACAATGCGATTATATATCTCTAATTTGGACTATATTTATCACTTATGAGAACCAACTTGCGCAAGTACTCCATAAATTTGGAATACATCCCGTGATACTTCCAGGTTAATGACATCTTTTCCTTTGCAGCGACGTGCAGGCGCAGTGTGAGAAGGATGTTGGCATGTTAGACGAGGTCTCCAATATCGGCCCAAGTTGTACCGGTGGTTTGGGCATACTGTCATAGAGCATATTTCTCCTCTTGATATTTCATGTAAAAATCCCGCTATCAAAATCAGCTCGCGCTCGATAAAACCAGATCTCGACAAACGGCAACTTGAAAGATGGTTTTTGAATGTTCTCATCACAATCTTCTAAGCGTCTAATACCCAATTCACCCCGACACCCTCCGCATACAGTTGAACCGATAGCATTACTCTCAAATTTTGCAGCAATATAATTCAAAGATCAACTTCGCAGAAAGGTTCCAGAACTAAACTTCGCACATTTATAGACTTTTCGAACTAAGCAATAGTTTAGTATGCTGCAACGCAAACTCTAAATATAGCATGTGCCACATATAGAATTCGCGCTGCATGCGGGCTTTCCCCCGGTTAGCATAATTATTAATTTGGTTATATTAACTATGATTTGGTCAAATTGTTTATTTTAACCAAGGGTGGGTTGACTACAAACTTTTTGTAGTTCGCTATAACTACAGCTACTTCAAAAATATGTAGTCAGCTACAACTACTGCTACTTTTGAACAAAAATAGTTCGCTACTGACTACAGCTACTGCTTAAAAAATGTAGCGAACTATTTCGCTACTCAATATTTTTTAATTTTACTGTATTTGGAACATCTACTATAGCTCAGGCTGTAATGTAACCTATAACAAATCGACTTACGTGGGCATGCACTTGCACAGTTTGAACAGTTGCACGGTATACTTTATTGGTGCAAATCGAGTATTGATTTTAAGCAAACTGTGTCTTAATAACATTCTATTCTATCAAGTTGCTAACAATTTAAAAAAGTAGCGAATAGCGATTTGCTGTTATAACTACAGCTACTGTTTTGAAAAAGTAGTCAAAAACTACTGGCTACTTGAAAATTGTATCGCTACAGTAGCGAACTACAACTACTTCGCTACTATATGCTACTACCCACCCTTGATTTTAACATGCCTATTATTTTAAATCCCTCGGAACGACTTACGGTGGACATAAACAAAGAAATATAGATTAGTACAATAGTGCTATAAACTTATTTGAAGGAAAGGTTATTTGGCAGAACTACAGCGCATTTTTAGCAGCGGACATGAACTCAGACGTTTGACCTCAGCAACATTCAAATGTAAACAAAAGGTCTGCATAAATAATACCAAATTTCAAACGCTCTCAATTGTTCAAATCGCGTTTGCAGACGAGTTTTATTACGGGTTTTAGTACTTCAAAGTGTCCTGTTTCCAACTATACTAGTCTCTGTATGTAATTAGGTCCCACTTTTAAGAAATTCAACGTAGAAAATAGTTGGATTTGAAAGCCGTATTTTGACATGGCGCTCTTTGTCGCTAAATATTGGCACAAATGCTCTGTAATTGAAAACCTAAGTTAGTTTAGATGAAATTACGATAGTTTTCCGGTGCTGGGTGTGAATATCAGAAATTTTGAACAAAAACTTTTGAAATTATGTTTAATTAAATTCAGACCATTTTTTCGTTTAATTAGCCGGCGAATTTCTCCCGCGACGGTGCGAGACCAAAAAATCGCTAAAACTTTGAAACTAAATATATTTTCAAAATTCCAAACAGCATTTGTTTGTTGTTGAAGTAAATGTAGTTCATGGTAAAAGTTTCGTAGAAATTTATTTTTCAAGCCTCAAGTCAGTGGGCGGTTTTTAGAGACACACGCTCTTAATAACTTTAGAAGGCGATTATACAGTATAAAAGATAACAAATAAACCTACGGCAAATACTAGAATTGAAATGCTGTCAATTTCGTTGTGTTAACTACAAACTCAGTTTATACATAGGTCAACCTCTCACGGAAAGGACTAAAAATGGAAAGGGTTTTGGTAGGCTACATAGTTTGTAATATTATAAATATAGGTTTATTTATATTATAATTTTCAAAGCTTTGGATCCGTACTACAACCTCGATCACAACTTACCTTGGATGACTTGCGTAAAAAATGTAGTGATGAAAAATCTCAGTAGCTGTCAAAAGACGAAGGACCGCCATGCAAACTTTCGTTTCCATTCAGTAAAATAGATGCGGAGTTGAACAAGCAGTTCCCGTTTCCTGTGCTTTTAAGAGGCACGAGATTTGGAGATATGTCTTGTGGAACAAGACAGCAAGATAGTTGATCTACCCAGCTTGATGGTATATGTTCTGTTTTATATATTTCGCGTGGTAGATATTGGCGATATTTATTCACGAGAAACAATAAAATTCCTCTGTTTTCAGCAATTATTGCCTCACGCACCGTATCTAAGTCTCTTATTATCTCATACTCTTGTGGGACAGCCATTAATAAATATGATGTAAAAGAGGTTAAGTTAAAAGTCGTTTTCCTGCAACTTTAGGAACGATAGTGAATATTGACTAAGAGTTCGGGTAATTGTCGAGTGTCCGAGTGTCGAGGGTCATACGTCGAGGTCGAGGACGAGGGTCAAATGTCGAGATCGAGGGTCGAAATACTAAATTTTTATCCATTTTAAAAGTTTTACATTTTGAAGCTTCTATACTCGGGAAAACAATTAAAACTGAAAAATTTCGCCTATGGTTATAACCTATATATATATACTGAAAGTTTCGCTTGTGGGACTAAAAGTCCGATGGCGATGCGAGATTTGATGTTTGAAAGTATACATTAGCCTGAAACAGCCGCATATTTCTGTCATCACCCCGGAATATGCATTAAAGGAATTTTGGAGATTGTAAAAGGATTTTTGACCAAGCGGTTGTGGAAACACTGAAAGCAGCCTTTAAGAATCCATTTGAATGACCGTAATTGTTTACCGCAAACCGGCTAGGCACTTGGGCATTTAATAACAAAAACAATATATACAGTATGTATAATGTTCGACGTTCGCATTTCAGAAACGTCTGAAGACTCTGAAAACGAAAAAGTTTCGTGCAATATATTTGATGTGGACGAAAACTTAACGCTTGATACTATTCGCTATAGAATTCTGAAAGAAACAAAAGAATTACTCAAGGGGGATTACAGGTTTACTGTATCTGGTGTCCCTCTGAGTCTAGCACAAGAACAAACTGTCCTCGTCAGTGAGGCCATAACATCGCAGCGAGGCGAGCCAGTGATACGATATCAATTGTGGTACGGAGAAAAACAAGGGCCTATATATAAATCAGTGCCAGTGGAGACGAAGTGGAAAGATGCCCAACAAATTAACAATGTCAATGAAGAACAATTAGGGACATCCAGAAAGACAACGTCAGAAGCAACGTCCCAAAGCCAAAAGTCAGCATTATCTATGCTTAAGTCCCCTACAACTTGTTCAATTAAAGGAATCAAGCTGTTCTCTGATAAAGAAAGAGAAACAAGTATTGGAAAAGAAAAAGAAAGAAGGATCTTTTGGAATAGAAGAGCAACAGAGTTATGTAAAGAAGAACCTAAGAAAGCAGATCTGTACAAACGAATCCACGAAGATTGGCGTATTCATAAGACTGATTCGATGACGAAGGAAGTCAATGATTTAAGCCAATTAAGGCCCAGTAAGTCAACTTTAAAGAAAGGAACCTTACAAAGCAATCTTGCACGTGTGGAATCTTCAAAACAAAACATAACAGATTTACGAGAAGCAATTATCAAGACAGACAAACACATGGTCATGGAATTGCGAAAGTTACGAGATGAGCTTTATTCTACACAGAGCGAATTGCGTAAGGCTCAAGATGCATTAAGGAAAACAACCAAGAAGCTTAACAGTTGAACTGCTTATTTGCAGGAACCACTAGGGGATAGCTTCCAGATATAAAACTGTTCTCGCGACTTATTACTAATTTTTTACCCTTACTAGTTTCATACAGTTTTTGTTAAATAGATTATGTGATTGCCCTTAGGAAAGGTCGCAATTTCGATAATGTGACCCCTCCTTATTGGAACCAATGCACCATAGCTAAGATGCATCCTCTTCAGCGACAACAAATGCAACAACAGTACAGTACATCCCATGCAAATGTCAACAGTCATCCCATGCAAGGGTGTATAGTATTCATTGATATTAGTGGAAGGAGTAAATCCATTTACCAAGTCAAATTCGAGTCCGAGTCATCCGAGTCACGTAAAAAATACGAAGTTGAATAAAATTCACAATAGAATAGGGTTAGGAATAGGGTTTGGAGTAGGGTTAGGATATTTGACTCTGGCTCGATTTGACTCGGTCAACCAACAAACTCTTAGTGGAAGTGCCTGCAGTTCCAGGTAACGGGGCTTATTCCATGTCAACCCTGCCCCTGGATTAGTTGCATATGTTTGAGAAAAGTAATTTGAGGTTGAATTACATTTAGAGGCTCTATGTTTAAAACGATTTTGTCTATTAAATTAACAACGGCATATACAACTTCAGTCCCCCCCCCCCCACCACAGGACTGACGTCACATATTAAGTCCATCCATCCATTTAACACTAACGCCTGTATTCTAAAAGCTCGCTCAC